GTTGTCTCATTACCTAGTTGTTTGATTACCTAGTTGTCTCATTACCTTGTCCCGGCCTGCCCCGGTCCTTGCTAGCTACCTCCATGTCAATGTGCCAGGCTTGGCTCCGGATCCATTTCCCAATTTGTTTCCCGAGCGATGAGACTCTATTCATGAGAAAGAATGCGGGATACGGAGAGCGCCATATCCCCCATATGTGGGAACCTAATCAAGTGAGTAATCGACGGCAGAGCCATCTTTATCTGAACGGCAACCTCCAGCAGTGCATTTATTTTAAACGTTCAGCGTAATGGCCCTGCCTGCCAGGCCAGTGGCAGCTACATGTTGGGCGCCGAATCCTAACTGTCGGTGGTTATCTTGTCGCGTCACATGACTGTAGCACCGTAATAATAGTAATCCTGGAAAGTGATGAGTACGTGGTGCAGCGTAATGATTGAACGACTGCTCTGTGGAAACCGCGTCAGCAAAAAGACAGAAAATCAACTCGATGAGGTTACAGTGATTATTCCATCATGTCGTTGCGTGGAGACGCGCACAGGTCCGCGTATTCAAATAACGGCAGTCGAATATTCGCTCCCTGGGAGCTGGCTGTGACAAAGCTCGTAGGCCGCGGTAGCTGTTCGAGCTCGGGGTCCAGCTGCACTACTACTAGGTAGCGTATGCGGAAAATTGCTGGGCGAGGCTCTAAGTCGAAACGCACGCCTCTCGCCAACAGGCCTATGTCGACAGGTTCCGGCTCCTGGTCGAACGGATCGACCAAATGTGGATGATTAGGCTGATTAAACCGCCTGCGAAGGCCCTGCTGGCCCCGACCACCTTGATGATGATAACCTCCCAATGGCATACTCCAGGCCGGTTCCGGCCCGGTTCCGACCTAACGGGTCCAGTTAACGAGATGGGTAACCGGTCGGTAGGATTACCGGGCGAACCGTTATCCGTTAACCGTCCCCAGTAATCGGTAACCGATGTCGGTAACCTGGCATGAGCAAAAATGCATTTCTGATTGCAACCAGTTTCTTTGTGACAATGCCCATTGTCACAAGGTTCATGCCCACGTGTCACACCCCGACAAGCTTGAGGAGGTTAAGGCAATGTGAATGCCGGGTGACAGGGGTGACAGTCTTGTGCAGGCACATTTGGAGACTAGTTTACACTGAGATTGGGGTGATGTTGGATTAAAATACTTGCAGTTCATGAAATTGAGGAAATGTGTTGCAAAGGCATATCCAAACGTTTCAGAAGGGACGTTGTTTCGCCCGTAACAAACTTGTTACGGGCGAAACAAACTGGATTTCCACAATCCCACCACTCAAAGAGCTCCCCACACCATCGCAAAGTCCTTTTTTTATTACAGACACATGTAACAAGTTGTCATAGCTTGAGATTGTCGATATATGACTGCTGGATTGTGACGAGGCCATCTCCTTACATGTCTTGCTGCACCA